TCCCGTCCAGCTTCCAGACGCTGGCAGCCCCAGGCGGGACAGTCCTGCGTGACAGACAGTGACCCCTCCCCCCTCCCCACAGAGGTCTCCCCCTTTGACCTCCTGGGCTGCAGGCCCGCACGATGTTATGACTGCAGCATTCTAGAGTCAGATAGGTTGCGGTCTGCATTCTAGGCCACGCTTGGTTTCCTGTCTTGCAGGGAGGACACCTCATCACCCCAACTGGACAAGGATGGTAGGAGCACTGGTGAGGCTTGAACTTATGGCCTGACGACCTTCTTCCTGTAGCCCAGACCATCGGGCAGGTCCAGGAGGAAGGCTGCCACAGGATGGGTGAGGTAGCAGACCCTGGGACCCCCTGATCTGAGCAGCTAGTCAGTCCCCATTGAGGGGTCTCCTGTGAAGTTTAGGGAGCAAGTCTAGGCCTCTCAGCACATGCTGGGCACCCAGAGGGGTCCCTAATGCAATTTAGGGGTGACCCATTCCTGGGCACCTACCTGCGGGGTCAGGCACTGTGCTGGTCACTGCAAATCTTGGATGTCCTGTGCCCATTTTACAGATGAAGAAACTGAGGCTCGGAGAAGCCAAGTGACTCACCTGGGGTCCTGGAGACTCGAGGTCATGAGTCTGGGCTTTAAACCCACACTGGCTTTTGCACGGGTCCCCTTTCTGCCTCCTACTGGGTTTGCCCTTCCAGACACTTTGTCTTCTGAGCTTGGTTCCCTCTCAGAAAATGGGGACAAGAATGATATTTCCACTAAGGCAATTTGAAGATTCATCACAATGCTATCCCTAAAGCACTTCACAGCAGAGCTTAGTAAGTGCTCAGCAAATGACTTCTGTTCATATTGTGATCTTCTTGGGTCTCCCTGCTTGGGATGATGTCTGGGGAGTGACTGTATTCCAATCATCTTTGTATCTGCAGAGCTCACAGAGGCACCACAAAAAACAAAATAAAAGGATAGTTATTATTCCTTACCATTGTTTTTATATTTTGGTTGGCTCAAGTCTGAGTCTAACATCTACAGGGCCTAGAGCAAGAGGGTAAACAGAGGCCCACACACTGCATGTCTACACATTAAGGCATTATAGATCACACTAATGATCTGTTCAATAAAATATGTTCTGTCCTCCTACTTAACAAATATACCTTTATCATGACCTGAAAGGCTAAGTTCCAAGTTAGAATCCTCTGAGTAATGAGCTGGTCCTGCCCGCAGGTGCCCTGCTCTGTTCTCTGCCCGGCTCCTGTTCCATCTGTATCCTGCAAACAGGTGGTCATGCCTCAAATTTAGGGTGGGCCCCTTGCTGTGAGGTCCACCTTAAGGAGGACAGACCTCAGAAGTGAGCTATACCCATTCTTCTACATTCACCCTGCTAAGAATGAAGCTAATGCCCCAGGAGGGGTCAGAGAGTCCTAGATCCGCTCCCAACCAGCCCAGTGACTGTGGACAAGCTCCTGACACACAGCCGCCTCGTCTGTAAAATGGTACAACAGCAACCAGGACTGATGGGGGCGCCACATGAAAACAGAGATGTGTGTCTGCCTGGGGTCCACCCAGCCTGGGGGTGGGGGCAGCACCGCAGGCCAGCCACTCTGGCTGAGGGATGAGGATGCAGAGGCGTGGGATGTCGGCAGCCCTCCAGGAAGTCAGGCCTCGGAGGACAATCCCAGGAGGAGGGGCCGCTGAGCCAGCAGAACTGCTGAGTCTCAGCCCTGAGCAGAGCTGACTGCCGCTTCACTGCAGCCAAGGCTGGCCCCCTTCCCAGTGGTATGGCAGCCTCCATGAGCAGTGCACCCCCTGCTCCTGCCCCCTGGCTAGCGGTGCCCCTGGCGCTTCTCTCCATCCCCTAGAGCCTGCAGCCCAGCCCCTTATGTCTCAAATGGGATGACAAGCGTCCCCCCATGCGCTGCTAGGAGCGTGCAGCATATGTTAGCTGCCATGGTTTCTATCACTCTCACAGATAGATGCCACCTCTGTAACATGCTCAGCTGGTGCCAGCTACATAAGAGGGAGTCAACAGCCACGTGTTCCCCCCCTTCCTCCCTGGCAGAGATGCCAGAGCTGCTCAGGCTGGGTGGAGTCTTGTGTAGTGTCCTAGTTACACTGAGGCATGGGACATGCACATAGCCCCCAGGCTCCACCCAGTGCCCCTATAGAAAAGGCAAATAACTCAGCTTGTCCCCTGGGCCACAGGTGGGATCCCACAGACATCTGGATGGGGTCTTCGCTTGGCCCCACCCTCTCTCCTCCTCTCAGTCTGCTTCACAGGCTTCTACTGCCCTGAACATCCTCTCCCAGCCCTTCTATCCGCTTACTCACCTACCCCTCCCAGAGCTGCCTGGGCCTGCTGGAGCTGCTCTGGAAGCCCCTGTACTGGAGAGGACAGAGGAGGACAGACCAGGCAAGGGGCTTCAGGGAAGGGCACAGGAGGGGGAGATCAGGGCAGACCTGAGCCCAGCAGGACGGGTTCTGCTGTGTTCCAGCTGTGTGCCCTAGGACATAGGACTCTACGTCTGAGCCTCAATATTCTCATCTCCAAAATGGGGATGTTTTCACCTTGACAGAGCCATTATGAAGACCTCATGAATAATGTAGGTAAAATGCTCAGCACTGTCTGGCAGTTCCTCAAAAAGTTAAACATAGAGTCACCACGTGACCCGGAAATTCCACTCCTAGTCTATAGAGAAGTAAAAACATGTTCTCAAAAAGATACTTGTACAGGAATTTTCACTGTAGCAGTATTCCTAACAGTCAAAAAGTGGAAACAACTCAAGCGTCCACCAACCAGTGAATAGATAAACACAGTGTAGTCCATCCACACAGTGGAATATTACTCAACCATAAAAAGAAATGAAGTACTGATGCACAAAACAATCTGGATGAATCTTGAAAACATCATGTTCATGGAAAGGAGCCCAAGACAAAAGACCACACATTGTATGATTCCAATCTTAGGAACTGTCTGGAACAGGTGAATCCATAGACATAGCAGACTGGCAGTTACCAAGGCCTGGGGACCTGGGGGAGACAGGATAAGGGGAACATGCGTAATGACTGGAGAGTTTCCTTTTGGGATGATGAATCTGTTCTAGAACTAGAGGTGGTACTTGCACACACTGGCAATATACTAAGTGCCACTGAATCATTCACTTGAGAATGGTTAATTTCAAGTTATGTGAATTTCACCTCAGTTAAAACCAACACCAGAATAAAGCCCCATCTGGAATGAGCCCTCAAAATGCCAGGAAAGGAAGTAAAGAGAAAGAGGGAAGCAGCCTAAGCACGGGCAAGGGCTCACAGAGGAGTGGGTGGTGGAGAATTCTGACCCTGTCCTCCACTCTGGCTGGATGGGGCATGTGGCCTATAGAGCAGAGAGAAGGAGAAAGCTGCAGGGTTGGCGAAGGACAGCCCGAATCTGAAGGGTGACTGGGGACCCATGAAGCCTTCGAACAGGGGTCAGACTTAGGTTTTTAAAAGACTACTCTGGAATGTGGGGCACAGCCTAGAGGGGCCAAGAATAGGTGTGGGAGGCAGTTTAAGAGGCTGTTGCTGGCCTGGGTGACATGTCTGGGTCATGCCTAGCTATAATGCTGGCACTGGCACACAGAAGGGAAAGCTGTTTGGGGCTGATCCATGATGACTAGTCTTGGCCATTGAAAATGCAGATGGCCCCTTCAAAGGACAATGTGTAATAGCTGGATCTGAGCTGGAGACAGGGTGGAAAGGCCCCAGAGTGTGCATAGTATTGGAAACCCCGGAATAGCAGGGTGAGCAGAGACGAGAACTCCGGAGGCACCAGCCTTTAGAGGAGGGCAAAGAGGCTGAGTGCTGGGTAGAAAGTGAGACCATAGGAGCTTTTTGGGAGCAGTGCTGTCAAATTGTGCAGATCTGTCAGTGGATACAGATAAGTATCCACTGGGTTAGGCACTGAGCTGGCCAGTGACCTTGTGACATTTTCATTGAAGAGCTGGGGGTAAAGACATGACAGTGCGTCCAGGAGGGAATGTGAAGTGAGGGCATGGAGCCAGAAAAGCGTGAGGACAGCTCTTTGAAGGAGTGAGTGCTGGCTGGAAGGAGAGTTTTGGGTTGTTTTACGGTGTTTAAAGGCTGAGAAGGAAGGAGGAGCGGTAGAAGAGGTACAGGAAAGAAGGTTCCCGGGACCCAGGGCCCGTCTGGGTGGGCAGTGGAGTATCTTTGGTCAAGGGGCTGGAGGAAGGGGGGTGTAGGTGTATTTGTAAGCCTGGTGGGAAGAAACCGTAGGAGAGTCTGTCTCCATGACTGACTCTTCTGTGAGAGGAGAAGGCCACCTTCCTGGAGTGAGGGAGGGCTGGGATGGAAAAGGAGGCGTGAGGGACACCGGTATACGGCGGGCCGCTGGGTTGAGTGGGGGGAACTGAGGATTTGGCAGGGGCTGGACAAGCCTGAAAGGGTTGCCACATCTAGCAAATAAAACGACAGGAAGCAAAGTTAAATTTGAATTTCACGTGTGCAGGAGTAACATTTTGGTGTAAGTATACCTCCATGAAGGATTTGGGATATACTTATACTAAAAAGTTACTGTTGCGTATCCGAAATTCTAAAGTAACTGGGCGCCCTGCAGTTTACTTAGGGAATCCTAGCCCGGCGTCGGGAGTAGCGGAGGAGGTGCGGGAGGGGATGACGCGACCCCCTGGGCACCCGAGACTGGAAAACGGGCAGCCGAGTGGGAAGGCGAATGCCTGACCGGGACAAGTCTGGGGTCCCTGTTTCCGTCCACCCCTCGCTTCCAGGGAGCACAGACCACCTACTACTTCTTCCCAGGCGGGAAGAGCGCCCAGCGCCCCATAATTTTGGTCTCGTCCCTCCCATCCCACGTACGCCCCTTGGTGTCGCTCTAATGGCCCATCGATAACTCTACGCTCAGCCTCGGCCTCTATCGACTCGCTCCGGCTCCGCTCGCCGTCCTGGGCCGCTGCGGAGCGCCGAGCCGCGCGTGAGGTACGGAGGCCGCGGGGAGTGGACCGGAAAGCGGCTGCCGGGTTGCCGGGAGAGCGCACCCGGGTAAAGCTGGCCCAGCGGGACGGAGCCAGGGCGCTGGGCGGAGCACGTGGGAGCTCGAGGGTCCAGCCAGAGAGAGGCCCTCTTCCCTCAGGTCCTGCCGCCTGTCTGCTACGCCTGCGCAGTTGCAGCGCTCGGCTCTCCTCTCCGGCCTGTCCGCCGCCCTGCGCACGCGCGTCCCGCCCCTGCGGCAGAGCGGCTCCCCTGGCGCGACTGCCCCCTGCCGGCCGCGGATGGGGTGGCGTCCGGGCAGGGTGCGTGGGGCGGGGAATCCAGCTTGGAGGTTGTCACGCGTGTCCCGGAAACTCTGAGCTTCAGCTTTCTTATCTCTAAAGTGGGATAGATAATACTACTCTCAGCACCGAGGGCGCATAGAGGACATTTCCTAAATACTGCATGCCTCTCTCTTCTCTAGATGCTCTGACTTTTGACCCCTGCGGGTCAGATCTCCGGCCCTCTGCAGCCCCGAGGCTTCCAAGCAGCCACACCATGAACACGTCCCCAGGCACAGTGGGCAGTGACCCGGTCATCTTGGCCACTGCAGGCTATGACCACACGGTGCGGTTCTGGCAGGCGCACAGCGGGATCTGCACGCGCACGGTGCAGCACCAGGACTCCGTATCCTCTGGAAAGGCAGGGAGGGCGGCGCTGGGCTGGACGCCTGGAGGGGATAACGGCCTAGGCACAGGCTGCGGGCGGGAAGAATGCGGCAGCAAGTCAGATGGTGGAGGCCTCTAGGTCTGGCCCCAGGACTCTGTGCACCGCTCTCCTTAACAGACCTAGCAGGTGAACGCTCTGGAGATCACCCCGGACCGCAGCATGATCGCTGCTGCAGGTATCTGGACCCTGGACCCCCGTCCTGAAGCCTGGGGGCTCCATTGGGGCACAGCCTGTCTCAGACTGGCCTGTGCCCCTAGGTTACCAGCACATCCGCATGTACGACCTCAACTCCAACAACCCCAACCCTATCATCAGCTATGACGGCGTCAACAAGAACATCGCGTCTGTGGGCTTCCACGAGGACGGCCGCTGGATGTACACGGGTGGGGAGGACTGCACTGCCCGGATCTGGGACCTCAGGTGGGGGTGCTGGGCAGGAGGGGCCCACCGCCTGGGGGTGGGGGGCGAAGGCCAGGCTAGGCGCTGTCTTAGGTCAGGTCCCCTCTAAGCAGAGGCTGAGGTGGGCTTTTCTGTGCAGGTGATTGATTGAGGGTAGTGAGGAATGCAGAACCGGCAGGGGGTGCCACACGACCACTGAGTTCAGCCTCAGGCCATGCGAGGGGAGCTAGTAACTGGCTCCAGGCTGCCCCTTGGGAGGGCTGAGCCTCTCAGGTATTTCCAGTGAGGCAGTTCTCGTCAGCAGAGAGCTAAGCATAAAGGCCAGGGAAGGGGCCTGTGGGTGGGGCCCCAGCAGCATCCACTCCAGATGGTGTATGTCCCCCACCCTGAAGGTCCCGGAACCTGCAGTGTCAGCGGATCTTCCAGGTGAATGCACCCATTAACTGTGTGTGCCTGCACCCCAACCAGGTGAGGAGGTACACAGGGCTGGGCACTCCCGGGTGCTGGGCAGGCAAGGGCCCTGCCCTCCTCACCTGCACTGTACCCTAGGCGGAGCTCATTGTGGGTGACCAGAGCGGTGCCATCCACATCTGGGACTTGAAAACTGACCACAACGAGCAGCTGATCCCTGAGCCCGAGGTGTCCATCACCTCTGCTCACATCGACCCTGATGCCAGCTACATGGCAGCGGTCAACAGCACTGTGAGTCCTGGGCCCCCATCCCATTGTCCCCTCCGGGTGGGCTTATTCTGTGGGTGTCCCTCAGACTCTCAGCCCTGCGGTCCTGCTTCCCCTTTCCTGGGCTCCAGCTCCAGCCCAGTCCCAAAGCCAGAAGCCTAGGGGTCCCCAACGCCTCTCACTGCCCAGCGTGGCCCACACAGCAGGCTGACCCTTCCGCCTCTAGTGTCTCCCAGTCTGTCTGCTTCCCTGCCTCCTCCCTGTCACCATCTGATCTGTTTCCTTGTCCCAGTAGTGGTGGCCGCAGGTGCAGGCCCCGTGGCAGCCCTCCCTCCTGCCCTGCCCAGGCCCCAGTCCCTCCCCCTCTGCTGCCAGAACACCCCCAGCAGTGCCAGCCTTTACCCAACATTCTTGGGTGGCTGCGTGGCCTTACCTGCCATGGTTTGGCCCTGACCTCCTGCATTCAGACTCATAACGCCCATGAAATCTGTGAATCACTTGTCCCACGATGTCCCCAGACCTGCCCTCTGAGCCTTTGCCCTGCTGTCCCCTCTGTCTTGGGTGCCCTCCTGTTACATTCGTGCCATGCTCGATGGCACGTCCGCCTGCTCCCAGCCTGCCAGGTCCGGCGCTCGGTTGGGGCCAGGCTTCCCAGGTGTGCTCCCTGCAGGTAGAACCCTGCATGTGCCCGCCCCATGTCCCCAGCCCCCAGGGAATCCTCCCCCATGTGTCAGGCCCAAGGCTCCCATGTCAGGTCCAGGCCTCCCATGACTCCCCTCCTGCCCTGCCAGGGAAACTGCTATGTCTGGAATCTGACTGGGGGCATTGGTGACGAGGTGACGCAGCTCATCCCCAAAACCAAGATCCCAGCGCACACCCGCTACGCCCTGCAGTGCCGCTTCAGCCCTGACTCCACGTGCGTGCAGGGAGGGCCTGGAGGGTCCGGACAGGTGTGGGGTGCAGGGTGGGAGGGGCTGCTGCTGACACCCCACCATGTTCACACCCACTCCCAGGCTCCTTGCCACCTGCTCCGCCGACCAGACATGCAAGATTTGGAGGACATCCAACTTCTCCCTGATGACGGAGTTGAGCATCAAGAGCAGCAACCCCGGAGAGTCGTCCCGAGGCTGGATGTGGGGGTGCGCCTTCTCGGGGGACTCCCAGTACATCGTCACCGGTAAGCCCCACCCAGCTGCCTCCCCACCTCTGCCGGCAGCTGCTGTGCTCCCCCACAGGTGCCTCTGCCTGGCCTGGGGCCGCGCCCTGAGCTGCCCACGCTCTTCCCCTGCAGCTTCCTCTGACAACCTGGCCCGGCTCTGGTGTGTGGAGACGGGAGAGATCAAGAGAGAGTACGGTGGCCACCAGAAGGCTGTTGTCTGCCTGGCCTTCAACGACAGCGTGCTGAGCTAGCATGCACCCCTTGGGATTGCAGGTCACTGTCCGGGCTGTACTGGCTGGATGCGCCTGTTCAGCTGCCTGGGTCAGAGTGAACCCCCACCAGCTGGCCCCTACCAGCTTTGGCCTGCACGTGACTGGCCTACCCTGGCCCCTGCTAGGCTGGGGCTCTCACCTCCTATTGCTTATCTGAATGTGGCAGGGCTCAGGAGGCCCTCAGAAATTCTGGACCCACAGGGCCTAGAGCCATCGAGGGGGACCTGAAGCTGGTGTCCACCCCAAAGCCAGTGCTTCCACCTCCCCTCAGGCCCAGTTTCGCATCCTGAGGCCACAGACAACACCATCACAGCCAGGTGGAGTGGTTTATTTGTCCCAGTGGGCAGCTGCCCTCCATGGCGCCGGTGATGGGGCCATCCTGGGGGCTGGGCCAGGCAGGGCCGCTTAGTCTGGGAGGTAATAAAAGCACACTGACACGCAGATGTTGCTTGGAAAGCAGATGTCGATGCACAGGTAGATGAGCCGCTGCCTCTGGGGCCCTGGGGGCAGGGGCCTCTGTGAACCCCCAAGGGCTCCTCCTTCCTCTCCCCAAACTGTCCAGTGGGAGCCCGACCTCCCCACACAGCCTGCTCCCACTCACCCTCCACTCGACGGGCCCAGTAAATGGGGGTCTTTGCACAAAGGTGCTGCACTGAAGCCCCCACCTGGGCAGGGTCCACCTCATGGCTCCCAAGCACTGCCAGCAGTTCCTGGGCATAGTGGGGGTCCTGGCTGGGGCTGTGAGGCTCCTGGGCCTGCAGAGAAGGTTCTGGTAGGCCATGGCATGGGCACTTGCGTTGCACCTGGCTGGGCAGGGACTATACATCCCTGGATGTGCCAGCAAGATGCCAGCCCCACCCTCAGCTCTTGTTAGCAGCCTCAGCCAAGGGAAGATAAAGCTTCTGTTCTCCTGAAACTGGAGCCCCAGCCCGCCCCAGGCCCAGACCATACACAGGACCCTTTGTCTGCCCCCTGGCCCGGGAGTCTGACCATGTGGGGGCTGCTTACCTTTGAGGTGTTCACCAGCAGCTGCAGGGTCTCACGATCTCGGGGCTCCATCAGGCGGAGGAAGCAGGCCCTGTGCTCTGCAGGGCGGTAACAGATGCAGCCCTGGAGAGGCAGGGAGGTGAGGCAGGGCCACTGGAACCCCCAAGAGTGGCGACCTCACCCCCAGCCCACTCACGCTCTCGCCGTCAAACAGCACCACCCAGCTGCCATTGCTCTGAGCTGGTGTCACTCTGATGGTTGCCAAGTTCCGGGCCACATCCACCTGGGCGGTTTGGTTGGACTGGGGCTCCCTGGGGCTTGGGAGGGTCAGACGCATCTGCAGCAGTGGCTGAGTGGGAAGCCGGAACTCAGCTGGGCAGGCTAGGGCAGCCCTGGATACTCCCCCAGCCTGCTGGGAGGCTTCTGATCTCTGCCCCTCTGGTCCTCTGGCCAGCCGCTCCGAGCCCTGGGTATACTGGAGAGCTGGGACATATTGGCCTCTTCTCTCCCTTCCCACTGCCCATGTCCCTGGCTGGGTCCTGAGGAAGGGCTCACCTTGGGGGGCCTGTGAGCAAAGCCAAGAAGTCCTCCAGCCACGGCCCCAGCAGTGGCCAGTGCCACGAGCAACAGTATCAGGCCAGGGGCCTTCCAGTCCACATGGCGGGGCCTGGTCTTCACCTAGGGGCACATATGGTCACTGGGGCCTGCCCAGTCAGCAGGCTGGCTCAGGGAAGGTAGGGGCTGAGGAGGGGTGGGAGGTGGGCCAGGGAATGCCCTGGGGCCTTGTCCTAGTAGAAGGCACTGGGGTGTGGGAGGCACTCACCCCGACAGGCCGAGGCCCAGGCCTCTCCGCTGGGCAGCTCCCCTGCTCCATGCTGAAGCCCTGGTGACAATGCTCTGATTGTCCGATGCCCCTCAGGCAGCCAGGGGAACCTCAGGACGCATCTCGTGAGCCAAGCAACTGTCCTGACCCCCTCCCCTCCTAACCCCACTGCCTCCCCCCTAGCCCAGCTACCTGATATTCAGTCAGAGCCAGGACAGCCCTTCCCCCTACTGGGGGTGTATGACAGAAGGGCCATCACACAAATCAAGTCCCACTGACTGGCACGGAAGGTGGCTGGTTAGGACAACTTAAGATTGATTGGGGGCGCACTTAATTTTCCCTAAAATCTCTGGTTACCTCTAGACTCCCAGGCTTGAGCCCAAGCCTGTCATACAGCTGACCATCAATCAGTGCCCGTGTCCTGAATGACTGGCCTGGGACTCTGTGCCTCCCCCACCCCACCACGCAGCCTAGCCTCTTCCCAGCCCCTCCACCACAGGGTGAGTGCGAGCCTGAGGCTGGCATGGCTGCTAGGAGGCTGCAGCGTGGCGAAGGCAGACTGCTACAACCTCCCACACCTCGGGGCCCACCTGCCCCTGCCCTGCCTGCTTGGAAGGGCTTGCTCTGACCCGAGCCATGGCCTTGGCTGGCCCCGTGGATCGTGAGTCAGGGCTCCCTGCACTGGCGGCTTTCGGGACATAGGTCTCCCAGCTTCATCCCACAGCCCCGTCCTGCTCAGTTTATCCTTTGTTTTTCCTGATTCCATGTAATGGGCTTGAGATGGGGTGGGGTGGCGGTCAGACTTCTAGCTCTAGAATTGGAATGTCTGGATGGCCTGCCACTCGTCCCCCCTCCAGCCCCGACGCCAGGCTGGGCAGCTGTCTCTGAGCTGAGGCCACTGTCAAGGCAGAGGGCAAGGAACACCAGAGCCAGCGCGGGTTTGAGAGTTTAATATGCATTTGGGTTCACACCATTCAACGGGCAGTGATGGGTGCATTTGGGCCCCCAGATTCCTGCCCAGTAGCCAACAGGGAGGTGTCGCTGGCTGCCTCACCTGCTGCGTGCTTCTGGTGTGGGTGACAACGCCCTGACAGGCCTGCTCAGTATCCAGACCCACCTTGAGCCAACCTCACAGAGCCAACGTCAGCACCACCAGCCTCTTAGGTGCCAGCTGCACTCATGTTGCCCCACAGCGGTGTCCAAACCAATCCCAGGTCTGGGAGGAACTGAAGGCGCAGGACATCCTTTATTGCTCTGAGAACTTAGAGAACGAGTGAAGAGGTGCTGTGACCCTGGGGCTAAGAGAGAAGCCATAGGCTGTGGACACATACCACTGGGTGCAGGGTAAGGCCCTAGGAAGGAGTCCGCCAAAAGGAACAGCTTCCCAGGCCCTGCCCCACAAATGTGACCAGGGTGTCTGTGTATCAGGCTTTCCCCAAAGGTCAGCAACGTAGGAAGCAGGCAGAAAAGGCCAGGGCCCTCTGCCAAGAATCCTCTGACAAGGGACTCCAGGGCCAAGATAGGTGGCCTCATGGACCATTGGCATCTAACCCCGACCCTAACCACGGGCTTGGCAGGACAGGAAGAGATTGAATGCTTTGTAAAAGGACTTCCTGTTCTTGGGGACACCTCTTTCCTCCCCTACTCAGAGGGCACCCTAGGAAAGAGGCATTCCTCAGCCAGCACATGATTTGAGGCAGTGCCGCTGCTGGCTCCAGGCATGGAGACTTCTTTGGGGAGATTTTCCCTAAGAGACAGAGCACAGCTATTAATCAACAATGCTTAAGATTCGATTCCACTGCTTGACAAAGTCGTGCAAAAGCTAAAACAATCGTGGGTACCAATGTTACTCTGACTTCCCTTGTGGGACAGCCTGGAGCTCAGTGAAGACATCCCAGTGCTGGCCACCTGGCCAACAGCAAGTTCAGTGCAAGTGGCCTGGGCTTAAATGCACATCTGAGAAAGTTGGAGTTTAGCCAGGCTGTTTACAGAACTGCGCAACCATGTATGGGAGCAGCACCCAGGGAGTCGAAACCGGAAGACAATTGTGACATCAGGGCAGGGTTTTTAAGGAAGTGGGAGGTGGTAGTGGCTGAGGGCAGCATCCTGCACCCCAAGGACAGGTAGACGTGTGCTGCAGGCAGCCTCTCCTGTACTCCTACCCTGCAGAGCCTGGGATGCAGCCCAGGCTTGCCCGCTGATGGCCACACACCTGCAGGCCCTTGGTAGGTTAGAGCAAGTTTGTCACAAAAGCCACAATAACCATCCCTTCCTCCCCTTTGCCCAGCAAGGAAGCTGGATCCCTGAATGAAACTTTCCAGAAATGACACTTGAGTTCCACCTCAGACCCACCAGCAGGCCCTGAGGTTCCTTGAATCCTGGACGGATGTCGGGCCTGGCCTTGCCAGCCAAGGCCCAGGACCCCCCCAAAATGCCTTGAAGCCTAAAAGTGCATCTCAAAGCATTAAGCATCTGTAACCAAATTCACCCCCAAACGTTTACTTAACGAGGCTAACAGCTAGAGCTTTTCTTTAATTCCAAATATGCTCTTTAAAGCCACCAAGCTAAGCAGATGCTTAAACCCGCACCTATTAATTTGGGTAAGTGATTTTCAAGTTTTTATTCTGGAGATTAAAGACACTAGATCTTTAACCTTGAAGGGCAGGCAAAAGGTCGGCTATACTGTCAACATAGAAGTCAGGCACCATTCTCTTCTTATTCATGCAGTCACTTTCCCGATTACTCTTCACGTCCCCTAGAGTGGAGACTCCAGTGAGGGTCAGGATGGTCTTCAGGCCACAGGTGACGCCCAGGAGGATGTCCGTGTCCAGGCGGTCTCCTACCATGACAGTGCGCTCTGGGTTGATGCCATACTCCTGGGACACGCAGTCGAAGATGAAGCGGCTGGGCTTGCCTATGATGTCGGCCTGGCGCTGGGCGGCCATCTCCACGGCTCGGACCAGACAGCCGGTACCTGCGGACGGAGAGGCAGGGGCGAGAGCGCCCGGGTCAGAGGACAAGAGGGCCGCGCTGCCCGCCCTCCAGCCGCCCGGCCCGGGGCGCACGGACCCGCGATGAAACAGCCGTTCTCAAGCGGGAGCCGGTTGTCCATGTTGGTGCCCACAAGCAGGCAGCCGGGCTGCTGCAGGTAGCGCACGGCCTTGGTGAGCTTCATGTAGCTGAAGTGCGGGTCGAAGCCCACCACCACCGCGCCCACGCCGGGCTCGAGCGGCGCGTTCAGCCAGGCGCTGGGGCTGTCGCCCTGCAGCGGCTCGGGCCCCACGCCCACGCAGGCGACGCCCACGGCCCGCAGCTCGGCGGCCAGGGCCTCGCCGCCCAGCACGTAGGCCTTGGGGCCCGGCGCGCCGGCCAGGCGGCGGCGCAGGTAGAGAGCGGTGCAGTAGGCCGTGCCGAAGACCTCGAGGCGGGCGCCGCCGAAGCCCAGGCGCTGCAGCTTCTCGGCGTAGGCCTCGCGGGTCTTGCTGCTGTTGTTCGTGATGAAGCCCAGGCGTTTGCCGCGGGCCCGCAGCGCCGTCAGGGCCTCGGGCGCACCGGGCACGGCTGTCTCGCCCCGCCACAGCACGCCGTCGCAGTCGAACAGCAGCGTATCCACGTCGGCCAGCAGCGCCCGCGCCCGCTCGGCGCTCAGCCGCACGCAGCGGGCGTCGTCGCTGCCGGCCGCCGCCGCCGCCGCCATGGCCGCCGGCTGCCCGCCGCTGTCACCGGCCTCCGCCGTCGCCGCCGCCCGCTCCTTGCAGCCGCCCGCCGTCGCGCCCGCCCCGCCCCCGGCGCGCTCATTGGCCCCGCGCCTCGCGCGTGCCGCCCATTGGACGGCGTCTGCGCCAATCCGCCCCCACCTCCTGAGGGATGCGGAAGCCCAGCGCCAACAGTCGCGTTCTGGCGCCGAGAGGCGGGCGGCCATTGGCTGCGGGGTCCAGGGCACCTAGTGATTGGCTGGCAGGGAGCCAACCGGCATTCAGAGTGAAGCGCTCACTGCGGAAACGCAGCTGAGCCGCCGGAGGGCAGGCTCGAGACGTGAGGCTGCTGTTCATTGGCGGCTGCCTCCGCTTGCCTATTGGCAGCGCGTGGTCAGCCTAGGTGACGGAGGCCCAGCGTCGAGTGACCCCGGCCCGGCTGGTTGCCGATTGGCCCGCTTCCCTTTGGCCAAGCGCGCGAGGCTCTCCGCAGGGCGCGGCAGGGGACCTCTGTCCCCTTAGGACCAGTCACGTCCGCCTCTCGTCTGGGCGGCGCCTTCCGCCCCACAGGCTCCGGACGCGGGGCCCGCGGGTCACGGCTGAGGGTCCAGGGCTCGTTCCCATCAAGCCTTGGGTTCTCATTCCCAGTCCTTCGCAAACACGCTTCCCCCAGAGCCTTAGCAGTCACGTGAACGATGAATAACAAGACAGTGGAATTATGATCCAAGAGGACACAGCCTGGAGCACAGCTCTCAAAAACTGATCGCTGTCACAATTATCATTATCAGGTCTCCCCTGTGCCTGTTCCTCCTCATGTTCACCCACACCCAGGCTGCCCTGTTTTTGAAATCCTTCCCCACTCCTTTCCCCTGGGAGCCTCTTCCATCTATCTGGTAACTTCCCTACTGCTCCTTAGCACATCTTCAAGTGAGGTGTCCTCCTGGCCCTCCCTTCCCAGATGCCCTCAGACCCTTTGTGCTCCACAAGCCCCTACCTGGTCCTCTTTCCATGTGTCCCTCTTAGAGATTATCCGTCCTGGATCTTTCACCTCTGCTGTGTTCCTGAGGTCCTATTTCTGCACAGCAGTCAGAGGGGTCCTTCTGAAATGCTATCACTCCCTTTGCTTAAAACCCTGCAATGGTGAGCAAGCCCCCTACAGAAAGCAGCCCCTTGTTAGCTAGAGGGTACTATGCTCAGTGAAATAAGTCAGGCGGAGAAAGACAAGTACCAAATGATTTCACTCATATATGGAGTATAAGAACAAAGGAAAACTGAAGGAACAAAACAGCAGCAGAATCACAGAACCCAAGAATGGACTAATAGTTACCAAAGGGAAAGGGACTGGGGAGGATGGGTGGGAAGGGAGGGACAAGGGCGGTAAAAAATAAAAGGGGCATTACGATTAGCATGTATAGTGTGGGGAGGGCACGGGGAGGGCTGTGCAACACAGAGAAGACAAGTAGTGATTTTACAGCATCTTACTACGCTGATGGACAGTGACTGTAAGTGGGGTTTGTGGGGGGGACTTGGTGAAGGGGGGAGCCTAGTAAACATAATGTTCTTCATGTAATTGTAGATTAATAATAGCAAAAAAAAAAAAAAAAAGAAAAGAAAAGAAAAGAAAGCAGCCCCTTGTTACCCTGGCCTGACCTCCAGTGATCTAACCTGTGCCTCACATATTCCAACTTCTAACAGGCCAAGTGGCCCCAAGGGGTGCAGCTCCAGAAGGGAAATAATCTCTGTCTGGGCCCTTGTGTCTGTGGTCTTCCCTGTAGATTAGCCTTTCTGGAGGGGACCAGGTCTGATTCACCTTAATCTCTGGCATCATCCAAATGGCAGTCATCCACCATGTGGCTGGGCCACAGAGAATAACGGAGCTGGGAGGGCATGCCCTGTGGGTTTCCAGCCCCTGGCTCTGTACAGACCTGGGCTCACATCTCTGGTCTGCCCTTGGGCAAGTGTCCTATAGTTCTGTGCCTCAATTTCTTCATCTTCAAAATGGGGATGATTGGTATCTTAAGTGAGAAAATAAAAGCTAATTGAATATTATCTTAAAAAGAATAAAAGGAACTTGTACAAGTATGTTCATGGCATCACTCTTGGCAATAGTAGGAAAGGTAGAAACAGCCCACATGTGATGAATGAATGAACTGTGTAGATTTGAGCAAGCGAGCTAAGGGCTATTTAGCTGCAGGAGCCTCGCAATGCCTAAGTCAAAGGAACTTGCTTTTTCAAGTTCTTCTGGGAGCAATTCTGACAGTGAAGTGGACAAAAAGTTAAAGAGGAAAAAGCAAGTTACTCCAGAAAAACCTGTAAAGAAGCAAAAGACTGGTGAAATGTCAAGAGCCCTGTCATCTATACTCCAAGCAGAGCAGCAGCAGCAGAGATGGTAACATGTTTTTGATTGGGAAAATGAGGTATGTCAATGTTTGGGACTTTAAAGGGTAAGTCCAAATTGATATTAGAGAATATTGGATGGATTCAAAAGGTGAAATGAAACCAGGAAGAAAAGGTATTTCTTTAAACCCTGAGCAAGGCAGCCAGCTAAAGGAACAGATTTCTGACACTAATGATGCAGTAAGAAAACTGTAAAATCAGAGCCATACAAAACCTGTACTGTTCTAGCTGTTTAATGTCTTTTTACATTGGCTTTTGTTTTCTAAATGTTGTTTTCCAAGCTATTGTGTATTTGGATTATAGAACAATTTGTAAGATGAATACTTTAAAAAGATGTGCATTATTGAAAATGTTCTGAGTGAAGCTAATTGTCTACTTGATTAAGAATGGTTGTTTTGTGCCCATCACCTAGTGTAAAATAAAATCAAGTAATACAATCTCAACTGTGTGGCTTTCTTTGATCAGAAGGTGCACTATTTAAGGCCAAGAGTAACAGTTTATAGACCTTTTAGTTTCAACTCAGTTTACATTCAAAAGGATTTGTATTGCATTGAATAACTTTTGACTTTTGAAATCCATAGTTGATCTATTTTCTTCCAACTGAATGTCTAGACTTGTTTGATTTTTTTCACTTTCCCCTTTTTTTCTTTAGTTTCCTTTATGACATGTATTGTCATGTTCAATTTTCATTTCACTTTTTGCTCTTTTCTTTGGATAGGTTATGCTAATATGAGAAATCAGTTGGAACTGTCAAATTGTTAGTTATCTCACTAAGGTACTTGTAATTAAAATATTACATGAGAACTACAATCACTAATTCTACTGCATTAAATATTAGGAGATATAGATTGATAAACAACATGGCAAGGATGGAAACTGAACAAGTGCATGTCATCACCTGTAATGTTCTGTGTAGTTATTGTGTAGTATGCAGAAAATGACTTAGATGTCTGATTTGCTTTCACTTACTTAACATCTTCACCATGAGATGATGTCTATAATATCTGACAGTTAAAGTAGACTAGGATTTAATAAAATTTGCAAAAGCTTAAAATAACTAAGTAAACTGTGTTTTATCCATATAACGGAATATTATGCAGCCCTAGAAAGAATGAAGTGTTGATATACGCGATGACATGGATGAACCTTGAAAACATATGCAATGAAAGAAGCTAGACGCAAAAAAACACGTGTAATTCCATTTATACGAAATGTCCAGAAATGGCAAATCTGTAGAGACCGAATGGTCGCCAGGGGCTGGGGGGAGGGGATTATGGGAAGTGACTGCTGATGGGTATAGGTTTTGCAATGATGGCGGTGTTCTGGAACTAGATGGTGGTGATGGTTGCATATTATGAATGAACTAAATGTCATTAATGGTAAATTTTATGTGTATTTATCGTAACTTTAAAACTATACAAAAGAATAATAGGCTTAGCGACGCTACCCGTGAGACATCCCCAAATCGGGTTCCTCTTCCGTGACCCACGCAACCCTCAAGGAGGGGGGGGGCACGACACCAACGGTGGGAACTAGGGCGCTGTCCCGCAGCGGCGTCTGAAGTCGCATCCCGCGAGGCCATGCCTCCGCCGCCTGCCAGTCTGCTCCTCCGAAACAACGCTCCTCCCAGCAGCCCCGCCCCGTCTCCTTTCTCCTTGAGCCTGGCCCCGCCCTACGGTTGCAGACCACACCCCTTTTAATCCGTCAAGCCGCCTGTCCATCAAACTTACCCTTGCCCCGCCCCGCCGTTTTCCGGCCGTAGTTCCTTATCGCTCGCCTGGCGCGGACCGTTGTTATGACGACACGGTCGTAAATCCGCCATCTTCCTGCGGCGCGTTGCGACATGGAGGGCGCGATGGCAGTGCGGGTGACGGCCGCGCATACGGCAGAAGCCCGGGCCGAAGCCGGGCGGGACGCGGGCGAGGGCGGGGTCGCGGCGGCGGCGACGGCCTTAGCCCCCGGCGGCTTCCTCGGCCTGCCGGCCCCCTTTAGCGAGGAAGGTAACAGGGCCGGCCGGGGCCGGGGTGGGGGCGGCGCAGCCCGGGCTGACGGAGGCCCCGATGGCCTGAGCTGTGAGCGCGACGAACTGTCCCAGACCCCGGTTCCTTGCGGACCTCACGGGTCCCCACGGGGTCCCTCAGAACCTTCCACGAGCCCCCAGCCCCGGTTTCCTCAGACCCTCGGGCCTCTACTGCGAAGCGTCTACCACCCCCGTGGGCCCTGGTGCCCATTCCCGGATACTCACAGGTGCCCAAGACTTCGGGGCTGACCACGTAGACCTCCGCGAACGCCTCCCCCGCTAGCCCTGCCCGCTCAGGCCCGCGGCCTAGCCCTCTTGCCTCCGTGACGGGGCATGGGCTGCCCTGCTCTGGGCCCCCTCCCACTGCACCTGACGGGCCCCGGCCGGGGTGTGGCTGGAGGCTCCAAGAGGGCGGGGCTCGGGGCTCCAGGCTCGGGGCTCTGGGCCCGCCCTTAGGGGCAGCGGAGCCCAGCGGCGGACAGCAGGTGCACTGCAGCGGACGTGAGGGCTCTGTCCCAGACCTGCCTCGTTTCACCTGCGTGATACCGGCCTGGTGACCACACACCTCTCTGAGCCTTCATTTCCTTTTTCGAAGTGGAGATGCTGCCGATAATGTATCAAGCACTTACCTGGCATCAGCTTTTTTCATCCTCAGACCAATCCCGGATGCTATTACGATTATGATTATTATTCCCATTTTGTGGGTGAGCAAAATTGAGGTTCAAAGATATGAACTTGTCCAGGTCAGCCAGCTAACTGGATTGGATTACAGGACTGGTGATTCCTCAGTCCACTCCCTTAACTTTGGGGTTCTGCTGGTGAGGATGGAAACAGAGCAGGTAGGCAAACTGCGGAGACTGGAGCTGGGGCCACACTGAGAACTCATTCACAGGAGCACCGAGCTCTTTTCGAGACAACTCGGGTCTCTGCTTTCTAAGCTTGTCTCATGAGGCTGTAGACAGGAGGGGGTAGGCAAGTGATATGAGGGTGCTAGTCTTTGTCCCCACAGGATTCGTAGTCTCTGCATTTTTTTTTCTTGCTCCTCATTCCAGCTTGGGGAGGGGCAGAACCAATGGGGCGGAGTCAACTTGAAAAGGTCTCTTTTTGGAGGAGGTTGCCCTGCCCTTGTGGGCTTGCCGGCGGCCTGTCTCAGTGTTACATGGACCAGGTGTGTCCCCTTCTGTGGTGAGGGTTCCTAAAACAGCATCACTCAGGCTTGGTGAGTGAGGTGGGAGGGTTAAGAGAGTGGTGGTCATCTCAGTGCTTGGCTTGTGACTGCGAGCCATCTGGAGGGGACTGGCGTCAGTTTTTATCATCCTCTGTCAGGTGGCCTTCTGTGGGTGAATCATGGCTGTGGTTTGGCCCTTCACTCATTAATTCAACAGACTTTGATCGGGCTTCCTCTGTGCACCAACCTGGGTTTGACCTTGATGTAGGGCTGCACATGAGGTGGCGGGAGCTGGCAGACTTTAATGGAAGCAGAAGGAACATCCTCCATCCCTCTGTGCAAACAGCAGAGCATCTGGAGTGGACCCTCAGGCTCAGGTTCTGGTTCCAACACTTACCAGCTGGGTGGCCTTGAATCTCAAGTCATTTTTCTAGAATGGGAATGGTCATCTCCATTTCACCGGGGTGCTGGCTGGCTTCAGGGATATCCCCAGTGAGGTGCCTGGCATGCAGTGGGACTCAGTGAGCAGGAAGCTGCTCCCGCAGGACCTGGGGCAGGTGCTGGCAGGTCAGCCTAGGTGGTGAGGGGCTCAGGTGCAGTGGGCCTGGGGTGTAGAGCCTCTTGGAGAAGATCCACCCTGGCCTCCTCACTGGGGATGTGCTGCCTGCGGGAACCAATGAAACCCCAAGTCAGAGTGAGAAAGAGTGGTCCTGGCTCTCCTGTTTGCTGAGGGCAGGCCGAGAGGCTGTGGGCGGCAGCCCACTGATGCCGTTGTAATCTGCACACACGCACCAGGCTGGCCCACTGCACAGATGAGGAAATGGACCCAAACGTGGTCACCAAGACGCCTAAAGGCATGTGCAAGCCTAGTAGTCTTACCCCTGATCTTTCACCACCTCCAAACTGGCTTGGGCAGATCCCTGCATCTCCCAGCCGCTCCCGTGGCCTCCATCCCCTCATCTGAGGTGGGGGCTCTGGGCACGACAGCCTCAGGCCACCCCAGCGGCTCAAGTGTACAGTTGGGGCCACCCCTGCTGGATGCTCCCCTCCCTGGGGTGGGTGCCACTTCTGCAGATCTCTGGAGGATGGGGCTGGCAGTCTGGCCCCTGAGAGTGTTCTTAGCCCATCTGGGAGAGCAGAGGAAGGTGCCTCTGGTTCTGATGCCACCCTTGGGTGGGTTTGGTCTGAGGCTGGAGGCCCTGCTAAGCCCCGCTGACCACAGGCTCATTGCAGATGAAGATGACGTGCACAGATGTGGCCGCTGCCAGACGGAGTTCACGGCCTTGGAGGACTTTGTTCAGCACAAGCTCCAGAAGGTCTGCCAGAGGGCCCCTCAAGAGGCCTTGCCCGCCACACCTGCCACGGCTGCGCTGCTGGGCCGGGAGGTGAGCTGCCTCTGCTGCCACCACACTCCTGGGACAGACTGCAGCTGGCTCCCTGTGACACAGGGACTGCAGAGGGTGGCATCCAGTTGTGGCTGATGGAGGGTATGGGTCCCGCCACCAAGAGTCTGGCAGTGCGCTGCGGCTTCCTGGGTGACCAGGCCTGCTCACCAGCCTCTGGCTGAAGCCTGTGCAGCTGGGGCTGGGGGCTCCTTCCTTGGGGCCTGAGGGTCTGTCCTGCCTTGGGTTTCACAGGGGGTTGGATCCTTTGTCTTACCTCCCTTCCTGTACATGTAGTTCCTGGGGATCCCTCAGCTAAAGTGTGGCTCTGAGGGTCCTGCCACCCCGTCACAACAGTGGCCAGCTTTGTGCCCTGTGCATGCTGGGGGCTGTACCCACACGGTCTAAGGTCCACCCTGTGGGGTGGGCATGCTTGTCATCCTCTTGTAGAAAGTAGGAAAGGAGGCTCCTCTACAAGTCAGCTGCCTCAAGTCACCACTGCGAGTGGCCCAGAGAACAGTGGACCCAGGGTTGTCTCACTCCAGCCCTGTTCTCTTCTCTTGTTCCCCCTTCTCTCCCAGAGGTGCCCTTTCCTCCAGGAAGGAGGCCCCACTTGCCTGGGACCCTTTCCCTGACTCATGGCCAGCGCTGGTGGGTGCAGGTGCTCACCTTCATTCCTGTACAGCCAGCGGAGCTTCAGCCTGGGGCTGATGGGCATGTCCTTCCGGAGTCCTCTCCAAGGGCATTCAGTGTGCCCTGCATTTGGCCCACAGCGGCTGGAGGTGTGGGAGTGAGGGGGCTGAGCCTGGGTTGGAGGGGCCGGGCTGGAAGTTGGGGTCAGAGTGGTGCAGACGAGAGTCCCGCTTAGGCCTCCTGTGTGGACACAGACCGAAGCCTGTGCTGTCCATGCCAGGGGAGCTTGGAGTTCCCAGACAAGTCCCCTCCATCCCCTAACCCCTGTCCCCAACTGGCAGGTGGTGCCAGCGGCGACGGCAGGTCCGGAAGAGCCCATCACTGTGGCCCACATCGTGGTGAAGGCGGCTGCTCTAACGGCAGACATCAGCCACGCGCCCGATGTTGTCGGTAAGCTGGCTCAGCCTCACGGGGCTGCCCACGCGTGGTTCTCAGTGCCAAGGTGTTGCTGACCTGACAGCCAATGATGTTCAGGGCCTGAGGCTGGGGAGCTTTGCTGCCTGCGCCCTCTGCTTCCCAAGAGCAAGGCCTGACTGAGGAGGGCTGGGCTTGTGCAGTGTTCACTCCTCGTGCGGGCTCTGCCCTGACAGGAACAGGAAGGTGGTGGCCTGGGCAGTCCTGGGCACACTTTGTGTACAGTCACGAACTGGCTGCTTTCTCCTGCTGCTTCCCCAGACTCTGTGCCTTGGTCCTTCTGGAATCTTCTCCATTTTCTGCCAGTCCCTCAGTTCCTGCACTGGAGGGTCGGGGTAGGGTGTGCATGGGTGCACCTGCTGCAGCCTGGCCTTTGCCCCCTGCATGCCCTCCCTCCTTCTCACATGGGGCTGCTGGGTCCAGCCCAGATTCTCATGGCTTTATGACCATACAGTGCCAAGTCAGCCTCTCTGATGGCTACAGTGCCTCAATGTGCAGTAGGGGTGGAGGTGTTGACAGGTCTGGATTAGGTCACACTCCTTAACTGGGGACAGGCAGGCATGTGGGGAATATTCAAAGGGAAGTCCATTCAAAGAGGTGGGGGGGCTGAGGGTGGGTGTGCACTTGGTTGTGGAGGGAGGCTAGGTTGGGCCTGATGCCAGTGGGAAGTCATTACCTGGAGGCCTGCTGGGCAGAGGCCTCGGCAGGTGCGGGAGTGGGCGGGCTAGACGGGAAGCAGGTTTGGCAACAGATGGAACTTGGCCTTGGGAAGCCCTTGGGACCAACTGGGGCAGGAAGCATGTGTAGGAGACCTGGGAAGGGGAGCCTCAGAGCAGGCCGTTCTGTTGAGGTCTCACTTCAGGGAGGCAGCACAGCACCTGTCCTAGTCTGTGTGTTGTTTCCTCAACATTCCTGTGGATAAGGATATTTTCCTGTTGCCACTCTGGTATAGGAATGCTGCTGAGCGCTGTGGCCCTGGAGTGACATTTGGTTTCTGGGGTGGGTGGTGTCATGAAAACAAGTTCCCTGGGTTCGGGTGGCATATACAGGCTGTGGACTCCTGGCCAGCCAGGCTCCTGCCTACACCCTGACTTCTAGCCCCACCAGGCTGTGGCTCAGCAGCTTCTTGTGCACTCGAGGCTCCTCCCTGGGCTTCCCCTGACTCTCATGCCCTTAGGAGTTTACCTCTTTGCAGGAATACTGGGTACCCCAGATGTCCCCTTGGTGTCTGCTGCTCAGTGGTCTGAAGCCCAGCATCAGCCAGAGTCCTAAACCACCAACTCCCAGGGTCCCAGGGCCTGGGGCAGCTTCATTCTTGCTGGGCCAGGGGCACTGTCAATGGGGGCCATATGGGGCCACGTGGGCTGGATACCCGTGTCAGGTCCTCTTGCCTCTTCCCTGGAAAACAACTTAGATTTTGACTCTGGACTTAGGGCAGCCATGTCCCACCTCCCCTGGCCCCTTGGTCTGCTGTGCCACATATGAACTCAAGTCCTAGCCTGGCAGAAGTTCCCTTTCTTTTGGAAGCTTGCTTCTGGATTAGAGGAAAGATAAAGCATCAAGCAGTCATCTAGGGCACAGGGCAAGAGGTGCCCTTAATTGTTTCTGAGTCACAGCACTTTGTTCTGCCTCGAGAGAATGGCCGGCAAAACATGGTGCCAGCCTGACTGAGATGGTTTCTCAGAAGAGCTTCCCAACCTTTTTGCACATGTCATGTTTATGAACAGAAATTGTGAAATGTGCTTACAGCTTAGTTTTGCACATTGTCAGATTCCTTTAACACCCATGAGAGGTGCAAAGCCCAGCTTTCCTCCCCAGGCCACCCCAGTGTCTCAAGTACACTCACTCCCCCAGGCTGCCTGCCTTGAACCGATGCCCTGGAGGTCTTCTTCCTTATGTTAGCAGGAGCCGGGGCAGCAAGTGGGCCGATGGCAATGAGCTGGGCTAGTCTTGGTGCCAGGCACCCTGCTACCGTTCAAGGGGACAGGACCCCCTCCACATATTCAGTCCTGTGCTTCTTTTGGCTTAGGGGAGGGGTGTCTGTGCTCAGGATGGGACCCCCAGTGGACACATTCAGCAGCTCCATGGAGTCAGGGGCTGCCTCCCACCCTCTCGGGAAGTGGTCAGGACAGCTCCACTGTCCCCTAGCAACATCCTCAGGCTAGGATCCGAGGAAGCCACGAGCTTATGGCCTGAGGTTCAGGCTGACCGACCTCTCCTTAGGCAGTGGACGCATCAAAGAAGTCATTGCAGCTGCTGAGGCAGAGCCGGGGGACAGCAAGATGGCAGAGGCCCCAGGCAGCTCCAGCGGCCAGGGGCCCAGGCTCACTGGGGAGGGTGAGCAGTCACAGGTCAAGCTGCTGGTGAACAAGGAAGGCCGCTACGTGTGCCTGCTCTGCCACAAGACCTTCAAGACGGTGAGCGCTGGGGCACAGCCCCTCCCGGCAGGCAGCCTCCCGCCCTCCCTCAGGGCAGTGCCTGAGCCTTGCTGCCCCTCCCCGACAGGGCAGCATCCTCAAGGCCCACATGGTCACCCACAGTAGCCGCAAGGACCACAAGTGCAAGTTGTGCGGGGCCTCCTTCCGGACCAAGGGCTCACTCATCAGGCACCACCGGAGGCACACAGGCGAGCAGGGCTCAGTGCTGGGGCTGGGGCTCCAGGCCTGCTTCCCCAGGTGCCCAGCTGCTGCCTGCCTGGGACTGACTCCACTCTATTCACAGACGAGCGCCCCTATAAGTGTGCCAAGTGTGGGAAGAGCTTCCGGGAGTCAGGTGCACTGACCCGGCACCTCAAGTCTCTGACTCCGTGCACAGAAAAAATCCGCTTCAGCATGAGCAAGGATGTGGTTGTTGGCAAAGAGGACCCATCTGCAGGTCAGCAGGTGGGCTCCTGCTCCAGCCCTGGCTGCCGCCTGGCCAGGAAGTTTCTCCAAGAAGTCTCTTGGTTCTGCCTTAAAGGGTCTGGCGCCTCCACTGTGGGGACTGTTACGTCGTCATCGGTCACAGGAGAGCCCATGGAGACATCCCCTGTGATTCACCTGGTGACAGATGCCAAGGGCACCGTCATCCATGAAGTTCATGTCCAGATGCAAGAGCTTCCCCTGGGCATGAAAGCCCTGGCCCCAGAGGTGGGGGCCGCTGGGTGGGATGTGAAAACCCTAGCCTGGAGTGGGGGCCGGCCACCTCTTTCTGGGTGCTGGCTATAGTGGGAATAGGACTGACCTGAGCCTGCCTTCCTGACTCTGCTTGCACGGGGGATGGGAGGACAATGGCATGCCAGAAGGCAACTAGGGTGGGTTGGGGGCTCAGTGGCATTCCTGAGTGAAGACCCTGGGTGTGCACAGTGGCCCCAGCCCCGCCCTGTGTGGTGGCTGTGGGTGGGTGCTGTGTGCTGGGTCACCCGGCCAGCCTCCTTCCCTCTGCCTCCCCCACAGTCTCTGGGCCCCGAAGAGCTTCCCTGTCCCAGCGAGGGCAGCCGTGAGAACCTGCTGCGCCAGGCCATGCAGAACTCTGGCATTGTCCTCGAGCGTGTCACTGGGGAGGAGGGGGCTCTGGAGCCAGCCCCTCCCACTTCATCCAGTCCCCGGCCCCTGGGAGACGGCCCTCCAGAGCTGCCGCTGCTGGAGGTGGACACAGTAGGTGCCTGCACCACCAGCCTGTTCCTTCTGGGGGTCCAGGCCTAAAGACAAGGTCGCCACGCTGGCTGGGGGCCAGCCTCCTCGGGTGCTCCCTGACATGGAAAGCTAGGCCGCTTTGTGCAGTGACTTTGTTCCCTGATCTGTTTCCTGCCTTCCCTGGGCCCAGGATGGGGCCTCCCCGGGTGGGGGCGCCATGGGTCCGCCCTCCCTGGTGCTGCAGTGGGTGTTGGAGGCTGCTGTGGTCCCCCAGCAGGTGGCCAGTGAGGCCTCATCTGTGCCCAGGACCCACCTGTGCCCTCAGTGCAGTGAGACCTTCCCCACGGCAGCCACCCTGGAGGCCCACAAAAGGGGCCACGCAGGTGGGTGGGGCACCGGGACGTGGATGGCCCGCGCAGGGGGTGGGATGGGACCCCAGGTGCAGTGTGCAGTGGGTGGGGTCCTGCCTGACGCTGCCTGCTGCCCTAGGGCCACGGCCGTTCCCCTGCGTGCAGTGTGGCAAGGCCTTCCCCAAGGCCTACCTGCTCAAGAAGCACCAGGAGGTGCACGTGCGCGAGCGCCGCTTCCGCTGCGGGGACTGTGGGAAGCTCTACAAGACCATCGCCCACGTCCGCGGCCACCGGCGCGTGCATTCCGACGAGCGGCCCTATCCCTGCCCCGAGTGCGGCAAGTGCTATAAGACCAAGGTGGGCCCAGGGGCCTGAGCGTGGGGCCCGCTCCCCGCCCCTCCCCCCGGACCCCTCCCTCGGCCAGCATAGCCCCGGTTACAGCCACACCGAGGCCAGGTTGTCACTGACGGTGGGTCTTCACAGAACGCCCAGCAGGTGCACTTCCGGACGCACCTGGAGGAGAAGCCACACGTGTGCCCGTTTTGCAGCCGAGGCTTCCGGGAGAAGGGTTCGCTGGTGCGGCACGTACGGCATCACACTGGCGAGAAGCCCTTCAAGTGCTACAAGTGTGGCCGGGGCTTCGCTGAGCATGGCACGCTCAACCGGCACCTGCGCACCAAAGGTCGGCAGGTGGAGTGGGGGGGGCACGCGAGCAGGGGGTGGTGGCAGAGGCCCAGGCGGGCAGCCCTCACCCAGCGGCCCCCCACAGGAGGCTGCCTGCTGGAGGTGGAGGAGTTGCTGGTGTCCGAGGAGAGCCCCACAACAGCTGCCACCGTCCTCTCTGAAGACCCTCACACCGTATTGGTTGAGTTCTCATCTGTGGTGGCTGACACCCAGGAGTACATCATTGAGGTGGGTGTGGGACCACAGGGGCTGGGACGGGCCAGGGTGGGGGCGTAAGGCTGACCTCTGATCCTCTTTCCAGGCCTCTGCGGATGATGCTGAGACCAGTGAAGCCACAGAGATCATTGAGGGCACCCAGACGGAGGTGAGGGGCTGTGGGAGGGTGAGGGGGCCTGGGCCCTCACCCAGACTGCCGGGCTGAGCTGTGAGCCACCCACAGGTGGACAGCCACATCATGAAGGTGGTGCAGCAGATCGTGCACCAGGCCAGTGCCGGGCACCAGATCATCGTACAGAATGTGACCATGGACCAGGAGGCGCGGCTGGGCCCCGAGGCGGCTGCTGCTGACACCATCACCATCGCCACCCCAGAGAGCCTGACAGAACAGGTGGCCATGACTCTGGCCTCAGCCATCAGCGAAGGCACTGTGCTCACAGCCCGTGCAGGCACCAGTGGTGCAGAGCAGGCCACCGTGACCATGGTTTCATCAGAGGACATTGAGATCCTGGAACATGCAGGCGAGCTGGTCATTGCCTCACCAGAGGGCCAGCTTGAGGTGCAGACAGTCATTGTCTAGGATGCACGCCTACAGGGGCCCAGTGGCCTGGGCAGGGCAGGGGTGGAGGCCTATCTTATTTAGAGAAGATGGAGCACAGAAGCAGGCGTCCATAGGAAGTGTGGGAGTGTAAATACAGAGCTTTTGTCGCTTTACAATAAAACATGAAAACCTGCCGCTTGTGATGTTGCGGCAGTGGCGGCCTTGGGGCGGGTACCACCGCCCTGACAGGTTCCCCACGGCCTGCCCTGGCCACCCTTGACTCCCATGCCTGGCCACCCCGCCCCAGGGCTCCTGACAGGGCTGGTGGCACCCTGACAGCGTGTGGGTGTCACTGGCATGTAGACAGGCGGCCTCCTGCTGATGCCCTGCCCAGCTGGAACTGTGACCCTAGCTTCCCGAGGCCCACTGAGGTCAGGGGCAGGGATGCTACTTCCTAGCGTCCAACCCAGGCTCAGGGGGCCAAGGCCAGGGAATCCAGGAGCCTTGGCTTTTTACCCTGGGGCAGTGATGTGTCGAAGCAGCGGAGATGCTGGGCCAGGAAAAGGGCCGGTCTTTCCAGGTTGTGCAGCCTTAATTTCCCCGAGGGGATGCACCTCAAGGGAGATTCTGGATGACCGAGTTCCTGGAAGGCGGGGACAAGGGCAAGGCCTGGACCATGGGCAAGGCGGATTCTCTCCCCCAGTCCTGTTGCAGCTTATGGGGGCTGGCAGGGGCTTCCATGTCCTGGTTCTTGACAACCCTGCCGCCTTGCCCTCTGGGGTCTCCATGGGAATGGGAACCAGGATTTCTGGCCTCCAGCTTCTTTGAGGGGGCGGGACCCAGTGCAGTCCCACCCCTCCCTGGAATGGGACCTCAAATACCCGCCTGTGCCAGGGCACCAGAGCTGCTGCCAGACCCAGCGGCGGGCAGTCTGGCTGTGCCACAGACCCACCCCAACCTGGACTTCAGACCCCTACTCAGAGCCAGAACCTGAGCCTCTGACACCAACCCATCCACATACCCGGTGAGTCTGGGGCCTGGGCTGAGCTCAGGGCTGGATGGAAATGAGGCTCCCTCTATTGGGGTCTCAACTACTTCCCAGGGAGAACTGTCCAGAGACCCGGAGAGCGCTGGAGAATGATGCGCTTTCACGCCAACCAGGGTCCAGCTGTGGAGCCTGAACACCGCCGCGGAGGGGCCAAGGGTGGGCGTGTGTGTCGGACCCCAAGTCCGCGTTCACGCGGGCCATGTTTGTCCCTCCTAGCCCACCCGCTCCGGGCCATGGGTGGGCCTCGAGCCCTACTGGCCACGCTCTGGGCGCTTGGGGCCGCCGGAGCCGCGGCGCTGCGCATCGGAGCCTTCAACATCCAGAGCTTTGGCGACAGCAAAGTGTCAGACCCAGCCTGCGGCGGCGTCATCGCGCAAGTGAGGCCGGGGCCCGGGGAATGGGGTCGCAGCTGGGCGCCGCGGGCGAATCCGCGGCGCGTAACCCCGCACCTGCCGGCCCTTCCCCCAGATCCTGGCTGGCTATGACGTCGCGCTGGTGCAGGAGGTGCGAGACTCGGACCTGAGCGCCGTGTCCGCCCTCCTGGAGCAGATCAACAGGTGTGGCGGGTAGGGCCCAGCGTCCGGAGCAGCCCCGGCCGGGATACCCGGCCTTGTTCCCCTGCCTTAACACCGGGCCTGGCCGTATCTCTGCAGCGTGTCCAGGCACGAGTACAGCTTCGTGAGCAGTGAGCCCCTGGGTCGGGAACAGTACAAGGAAATGTACCTGTTCGTCTACAGGTGAGGGACGGGGCCGTGGGAAGGAGCGAAGCGCAGGAGGTTGTCGGCTCCGGGCGCCTACCTCGCCCTCTGCCCCCAGGAAGGACGTGGTGTCGGTCGTGGACACGTACCAGTACCCGGACCCGGAGGACGTCTTCAGCCGTGAACCTTTCGTAGTCAAGTTTTCGGCCCCCCGCTGCGGTGAGGCCCCCCCCTCCCCTACCCCCGCCCCTCCCGTGGCCCCGCCCACAGATCCCATCCCGACCTGACCCGGTCCTCCTGCAGCCGCCCGGGAGCTCGTGCTGGTCCCGCTGCACGCCGCGCCGCATCAGGCGGTGGCCGAGATCGACGCTCTCTACGACGTGTACCTGGACGTGATCGACAAGTGGGGCACCGACGTAAGCCCGGCCCCGCGATCTCGTCCAGGAGGCGCGCCCTAGGCCCCCTCAGGGGGGCTCACACATGTCCCACGTTCCCCCAGGACTTGGTGTTCCTGGGAGACTTCAACGCCGACTGCAGCTACGTGCGGGCGCAGGACTGGGCAGCCATCCGCCTGCGCAGCAGCGAGGTGTTCAAGTGGCTCATACAGGACAACGCTGACACCACCGTGAGCAACTCGGACTGTGCCTACGACCGCATCGTGGTCTGTGGCTCCCGCCTGCGCAGAAGCTTGAAGCCCCAGTCAGCCACCGTGCATGACTTCCAGGAGGAATTCGGCCTGGACCAGACTCAGGCGAGTGCTGGGCCCGGCAGAGGCGGGATACAGGGTAGCCTCAGGTCCTGCGGTCCCCAGGCCTTCCTGCACAGACCGGCAGCACAGACAGGCGGGAGGGGCCAGCTCCACGTGCTGCTCAAGGCCAGCCTGACCTCAGCACACCTGGTGCTCCCCTTCCTACACCAGCGGTTCTAGAAAAGGCCGTAGTGATTCAGTTCTGGGTGAATGAGCAAGCCTGGGATGGCAGGATCAGATGCTCTCTGCCTCTCCCTCAGCGGGTCCCCAGCCCATGTCCTACCTGACGTGTGGGCAGCAGGGGTGGACAGCGTAGGCCTCGCTGGCCCCTCCCTGAAGATGCAGTAGTTTGTAGATACCCAGTGGGCTCCATCCCAGGTGGAGCCTGAGGCTGCCCAGCAGGGCCTCTGAAGCTTGGATCCCTCCCCCTCCAGGCCCTTGCCATCAGTGACCATTTTCCTGTAGAAGTGACCTTCAAGTCCCACTGATAGGCCCAGGTCTGGCCAGGGCACCTGCCTGCACATGCTGGCCGTGAAGAACAGCCCCATAGGGCTCCAGAGGCCAGCCCCCAGCGAGGCCGCAGAGCACTGTCAGTCGGACAGGCAGCTACGGGAACATCACGGGACCACTGGGAGCCTGTTTCCCCACCTGTAAAACGGGCTGCCACCACCTACCCCACAGGGCTGTGAGGAGCACCCCGCAGAGCGCTAGGCATGCAGCTGCCCTCAATAAATACAACTGAGTGCTCAGCCAGGACCACACACTGGTCAGCTCTGAGGCCTCTGTGTCCTTTCTTGGGATTCTGGGGCATAAACATTGGTCCTGCAGCCCACTTAAAGGACAGGGACAGCCTGGCCTGCCCCTTTCACTTCCTGCTGGGAACCGATCACCCCCAAACCACACTGGCTCCAGAGGCTGTGAAAGAGCCTTCCTCTTTCCTTGTGCAAACTGTAAATGCTTCCAAGAGCCTGCACCTCAAGCAGCTGCGGACCAGTGCTCACACACACAGGTCGTATCGACGTGCAAGGCCAGCCTCCCAGTCCCCGATGGCTCTCCTATGGCCCCTGATTCCTGAGTCCTGCAGGACCCCTCTGGCACTCATCTGTATCTGGCACAGCCCTCCCCACACTCCCACGCCTCCTGCCTAGCACTGCGGGGTGGGTCAAGGAAGCTGGCCCAGCCCCCAGATGGTGGGTGGCCAATGGGACATTTGGGGAGGCCCTCAGCAGTGAGCAGGCTGGACCCTCACCCAGCTTAGGAAGCCAGATCAGGTTAAGGTCCTGCCTACACCCCTTTAATGGTGCCTCCTGGTAGCTTCCTCCTCAGGAGCCCCAGGCTGGGGAGGGCCTGTGAGGGAGGAGAGTGGCCCCATCACCCGTGGATCAGGACCAAATAGAACTGGGACACATGGTATAGCTGACGGGCCTGGTGAGGTTTCTTGTTTTCGAAACCCCTCATCTTTGGCAGGATTTAGGAACTGGCCTGAATTGCATAGAAAGAAAAACCTCTGTTTCAAGAGTTTGGACAAGTTCTTCTAATGCAACCCTTCTAGAAGAGGACTTAGGACACTCACAGAACAGAATGTCTCAATGCTAGTGATGCTTCTCTGGCCCCTCTCCAGTTCCCTCAGTCTCTCTCTCCATCTAAATGAATGACTGTGGCAGCAAAAGGTCTTTGGGCTTTTCTTGGGGATGGGATCTCGTGGGGATTATCCCGGCCTGTGGCCAGGGATAGGGTGATCAAAGGACTTTATTCACGATTCTGCTTGGGAAAGGAGACACTCAGTGGTGACATCACCAAAGTCCAGAAGGGCCCACCTGCCAGTTCATGATTCTCAAATCAAGACACTGCCCATAAGAAACAGAACCATCTAAGAAGATCAGCAAAAGAGAGAGTTGAAAGTAACTTTTAAGTCAGAAAATACCTGAAAGTCCCTTGGAACCAGAGAGCCCCCAGAGGGTGCGCATGGCTGAGACCCTGGGTGGGCAGCTCAGCCTTAGGCCTTCTTTTCTTTGAGCTTTTCTAAGTACGCCTGCAGGGACTTCTGGACAGAGTCCCTGGAGAGGAAGCTGACGAAGTTCTGGATGTCTGCATCGCGCTGCTTCACCAGGCGGTCCACCGTGGCTTTTCGCATCATGTTCTTGCTCAGCTGTCGAGCGTGGTCTACAGAGAATGGGGTCCCCGTGTAAAAACTCATTCTCTGAGATGGGGCATCATTTCCAACCTTGCCAAGAGTATTTCAGCAGAAACCCTGGAAAGTTTCTAAGAAGCCTTAGAAAATGCACGTAAGTGAAGCAAAGAAAATGAGAATCACCTGTTCCCCACTGTCTGCCTGTTTCTTTTAAAAGCATGTAGATGATCTTGTAAAAACTGCCTTTTTAACCTTTATTTTCTCTCAGCTAGATTGAGACTAGTTTCCATGCCACCAAATGTTGTTTTACAACATAGTTAATGGCTGCGCCATATCTGGTCATTTGCGTCAGGGGTTGGCAGACCTGGCCACCATGGCCTGTGAGCTAGACAATGGTTTTTACATTTTTATATAGCTGATAAAACATTTTTTTAAAAAGGGTACTATTTTGTGACACGTGAAAAATTATGCAAAATTCAAATTTCAACAGCCTGACATTTTGCCAGAACACAAGACACACTTGCTGGTGCACACCTGTGGTGCTTTCGTGCTCTAACACCACAGGTGTGGCAGAGACCAGGTGACCTCCAAAGCCAGGAGTCGTATGCTGATCCCTGGTCTCCATCATAGCTGATAGAACCAGCTCTACTTCTATAAACAGACATGCAGGCTGCTTCCAACAGTCTGTATAGTGGGTTAAACAGGGGACCCCCCAGAAGATATCTGCAAGTCCAAACCCCTCCCTAGCACCTGTGCATGTGGCCTTGTTTGGAAAGGGACTTTGCAGATGAAATTAAGATGAGATCATCTTGGATTTAGAGTGGGCCCTAAATCCAATGACAGGCATCCTTGGAGAGGAGGGGGAGACTGAGACACAGAGACACACACCGGGGAGAAGCCATGTGGAGGCAGAGGCTGGAGCAGTGTGGCCACCTGGAGTCACCAGAAGCTGGAAGACCCAGGAAGGATCTGTCCTGGAGCTTCTGCAGTGAGGGTGGCCCTGCATCACCTTGGTTTTGTATCCCTGGCCCCCAGAGCTGGGAGAGGATGCATTTCTGTTGTTTTAAGCCTACCCCCAAACCCCGTGATGATTTGCGGCCCCAGGACACCAAGCCAGTCTGTTGTTATGATGGCACAGGTGTGCTTCGCCATAGAGCACCTTTCTGTGAGAACCTTATGGTCTCACCAGGCGCATCAGGCTGGGGAGGTGGAGGCTTTGCTTGTCCATCTGTATCCACCCCACAGCTTCTCACCTGGAACGGCCATCCACTGGGCCAACACTGAGAGCGCTGTGCTCTGCACCTGGTCCTCGGGCACCACCTGGTCCACTATGCCCACCTGGAGCGCCTCTGCTGGTGAGAATAGCAACCCCAGCTGCAGGGCGCGCTCCGCGGCACGCTGCCCGATGGTGTTCACCAGGGTGTCTTTGAACCTGGAACAGACACCCATTCACCGTGGGCTAGAGCTCCCAGGTGGTGGTGGGCTCCGTCCAAGGCCAAGTGGAATGTGGATGCAGCCCCCGGCCTTACCAGAAGGGGGCGATGATGCCCAGCAGAACCTCGTTCAGCCCAGTGCAGTACTTGGGGTTGTCAGCCAGGACCCGGTAGTCGCAGGAGAGGGCTATCAAGCAGCCTCCTGCTGGGCAGACTCCCTGCAGGGGAAGCGAGACCCCTGGGCTCTGGGCGCTGCTGTGGCTGGTCCCCACCGTATCCTGGACAACCAGGGTCCCGGGGACAGGTCTGCACGTGGGCATGAGCTCCGGCTGCCCCCCGCCCCCTGCAGGCACAGGTTTGCCATCGCCGAGGGCCACACACTGGCAGGTCCACAGCTCTTGGCCAGAAAATCATTGAGTCTTCCAGTCAGGGGAGGCAAGTTGACTTTCCTCTCAGCTTTTGTCTGATGCTCAAAGGCCAAATAAGCAGTTAGCCAGAGCTGTTCCTTCATGTCACGCCCACGGGCTGTCACCATTCCCAGGAGGATGTCCTGGGAGCCTCAAGCTCGCACCGTCCCACAGACAGCCACTGTCAGTCAGCATCGCAACCTGTGGGTTCTTCCTAGCTCTCTGCCCTCCCCACTGGCCAGCCAGGACTCCCCTGCGCCTGTGTGGGCTGTTCCCACTCTCTTGCCCGTGCAGTCCCCGAGCCTCAGTGCCCCTGCCTTCCCCAGCCAGGCCCAAGGGGTGTTTCCAAATGTGGCTCTGATTCCCCACTGGCTGCTGCGCTTCCGCTGGGTGTCCCCGGTCCCTGTCCCACCCCTGTGCCAGTGAGGATGTTGGCCCCCTGGGGCTCCCCTTGTCACCTCATCACACTGGTCTACATGGCATGCTTACCTGTGCATGTCTGTGGGTCTCCCCGCTGCCCTTTCCCTCTAAGCAAGGGCTTCCCGAGGGCAGGGCCACGCCCATCTCCCAGTCCCCAGGCAGGGCCCAGTGGGTCAGTGAGCACTCAGAAGTGGGCACACTCACATTGATGGCAGCGATCAGCACCAGTTTGGACAGGTAGAGCCGCAGCCATAGCTCCTGCACAGCCTTCCAGTACTCGACGTAGTGTGCTGGGTTCCTTCCACAAATCTCCATCAGGTCCAGGCCCGCCGAGAAGATCCCAGGGCAGTCCTGGGGAATGAGGGAGCCAGGGCCTGTCAGAGACCCCAGTGGCCACAGCGCTTGGCCTCCGCTCCCCTGGCCCTGCCCCTCCTGCTCTGGTGCCGTTCCGGCTCCCACAGGAATCGGCCAGGTGGGCGCTCTGTGCGCGGCCTCCCAGGCACAGAGGCCTCCCGACTGCCGAGCAGGCTGCAGACACCAGCACAGGCCGCTGTTGGCATGCGGCCAGGGGAGGACGGGGTGCCAACCAGGGCAGAAGCCAGACATCTGCCCTGGGCTGGTGCGCGGGAGGCAGGGCCCGGGGAGGGGTGGGCGGCTCGCGCTCCTGCCAGGGGCCCCACACAAAGTGTTCTGCAGAGAGCACCCCGAGCCGAGTGTCCTGGGAACTACTGGCTGGGGACACAGATGCAGGTCAGGGCGGGGAGTGGTGACTTGGTGGTGTCACGCAGAAAACCCTACACTTGGGCCTCCTGCGTGGCTGCAGCTCCTCTGAACGAATGGAAGCTCCTGTGACCCAGGCGCCTGGAGTTGCTGCCATCAACGACTGACAGACTAGCCCAGGAGAGGGCTGTGACCATGTGCTGCTTGTAGGCAGGACGCTGGCCACCCAGTGTCTGCGGGGAGCAGGTGGGTGAAGGCAGTCCGGGGTGGTCACTCAGCCCTCCACATCCCCATATGCTGTTGCACAGGGTGTGGAGCACAATTCCTTATCTCTGGTGCACATGCACGTAAAAAATCCAGCAGAGAAGGACTGATGCGCCATCCTCACACCAAGCCGGCTGCCTCCCAGCTGAGTACTGGGCCCCTGCACTGGGGCTGAGGGACGCAATGGGGACCCGGCTGCTCTTGCTTTGGGGGTGGGTGGACTTTGCACCCAGCCTATTCTGCCCTTTTCCTTACTTTTCCTATCATGAGCCTCTGGTCCCCTCCCCCATCCCCCAAATACAATGCAGTTTATCACCACAGAGCCTCGCTATCTGCAGTCAGTCCACGTTGTGGAGGGAAGGCAGTTTCATTCCGCATGTGAGAGAAATGAGCCACCCACCTGGGGATGTCCTTTGCTGACAGACTGGAAGGGGGTCAGGGAGCCCATGATCCAGCAGTACCTCTGTAGTGGGCCAAACTGTCCCCAAAAAGACAAGGTCAAGTCCTCTACCCCATACCCATAAACCTGGCCTTATTTGGAAATGGGGTTGTTGCAGAAGAAACCAAGGTAAGATGAGATCGTCCTGGAGAAGGGGTCCTAAATCCTGACTGGTGTCCTAAGGAGAGGGAGATGCAGACACAGGCACAGGGCATGCCTGCGTCATGGCAGAGGCAGAGTGGAGTGTGTGGGGGGGGACAAGCATAGGCACCCCAGGAGCCCCCAGAAGTTGGGAGGAGAGGACTCTCCCCTTGGACCTGCAGAAGGCATCACCCTGTGATAACGTGATCTTGAACCTGTAGCTTCAGCATGTGAGTTCATTTCTGTTGTTTTAAGCTCCCCATGTGTGGTGCCTTGTTGAGGTGGCCCCAGGACTCTGACGTGACATCCTCTACCACCATTTGCCAAGGGCCCAGTTAGGGCAGGCCTTGAGTTACACACACAGTAGGCACTCAATACAGAACACGATGTGTAGGCACATTTGTGGGGGGTGAGGACGCCGTGGTGGAGAATGTGGGCTTTGGAGGGATAGGGCTGCACAGCCCTGAGCATGCAGGCCAGCGGCCTTGGTAAGCGGTGGTTCTTCCCATGTTCTTTCTGAAGGTCCCATATTTGTAGCTCTCTCCTTTTTAGAGCATGATAAAGAAAATGTCATGTGTGAGATGACATGTTCAGTGGAGTATTTTCAGAAATTATCCAGGGGCAAAAGCTCCCAGGCAATTTCAGAATCTCCAGGCAGGTGGCTGCAGTTGTCAGAATATTCCCTGGGATTTTAACTGCCACTAGATTCTCAACAATCTACACCCATTAAGCATTAGTCCTACTCTTGGAGCAACACAGAATAATCTCTCTCCAGGGGGTGGGGTGTGAAGCTTTGCTCTGCTTCACAGGCCCCACGGTGCGTGCATTAGACCCAGCACTGGAGCGCATGATCAGTCCCTGCTCTGATGCAGTGGGGTTCCCTGTCAGGCAGCCTACGACAGTACCAAGCTGCCTGGGGGTCCAAGCAAGCAGGTGTGCTGCCACAGGGGCGCCCCAAGGCCTGGCTGCTTCTTGTGTCTCTAACAGAGGCCAAGATGCTCCTGTGGGTCTGTTACATGGTGGCACGTACCTTTTGGGGACACTCATGCTGCCTGTGGCTAACTTGAAAGGTGGCCCCCACAAAAGGCCTGTTATGTTGTGTCCACACTCTACCTCCCCCAGTGCCTGGCCGAGCAGGTGGGCCCGCTGCCCACTAAAGGGAGGCAGGAACAAATGAGGCCCTAGGTGCTGTGGGTCTGGGTGTTAAAACCAGACCCGGCTCCAAGGACAACCCAGCTCCCCTTCTCAGCCACTGCACCCCTACCCTCTGGGTCACACCCAGACACGCTCCTGGACCCAAAGGACGCCAGCTGTTACCCTTCCTGGCCTCTGCAACGATACTGCTCCCACAGATGCTGTTACCAGTGTTCGCTGGCTTTCAGGGACAAGGCTGAGGTCCCCCTGCAGCATCCAGA